TACTTTGACTTGATTTATTTTCCTGCTTGGATTTAAATATTTCATTATTGTCGGTGTGAACCTATGAATTATGTTTTCAACTTTATGGTGGTTTTTGGAACCTAATGAATGTTTGGTTTAATTTTTATAACTGTTAGTTATGCATGTGTAGGTTTAATCTGATATGGTTGTATGTTTGTTATATTGTTCTTGGGAGTTAAGTAGTGCCCGTTGAGTTTTAAATTTAATTTGAAATTTTGCAAAAAATTATCTGATATTTATAAATAAATTTGGTAAATCCTTTAAAATAAAACAGGGCGTTACAGTTTGGTATCAGAGCTAGTCTGCGTTTCTGTAGACTATCTCTAGTTTTAGTGTGCTTAATAACCATTTGACCACTCGCTTTCGTCTCGCCGCGCAAGCTCAAGGTATGTATTCATAAGTGATAAAGATATTGCTTATGATATGATTATAATGATTATTGCCGATAATGTGATTATTGTTTATTCTATTATTAGGGCTTAGGAATTTACCCACCGTTTATATGGACTTGAACTCTAGTGGTATAGAGTTAAGTTCCGACCTTAGAAGTTCTTGTTGTGAGTTTTCAGTTGGGTGTTTTCGAGTTAAGTTCTGTCTTAAGCAGTTCTCTCGTATAAGTTTCTCTTTAGTATCTTCGAGTGAGGATCATTCGCAAGCCATCTCGAAAGAGAGGGCTTAAGTAAAGGGAGCAGACCACCGAAGAAGTCCCAGGTGTGTGGATTATTCGGAAGTTTGTGACTATTGTGGATATAATTATTAGACACGTGTTAAAACCCGGTTAATGAGAACTGGGAGTGGAGTCCAGGTGCCGGGTTCATGTTGATGATCTGACCACTTGTGCTTGTAGATTCGTGGAGATCGGTTTAATGGCTGATTTCCCTTGTTATAATTTGTTCGATATTATTCGTTCATTTTTCTTTGGTTTGTCTCGTGAATTCTTCGTGGATATTAGAACTCTGTTGTTGAGTTATCGATGCCATCGTCTTTTGTTATGTATGGCTGAGATGTCATTGAATAAATTCGAGCCTTGACTTGTCATCCGAGCCCTTGCCTCGTGATTGTTGTACGTTTTAAGAGTTGGGTTTGAAAAACCTCTTTTTGAAAATTTTTCATTGATGGCTGTTCGGTCGCTGTTTTGACCCCTTAAACTCGGTCGATAGGTTTTGAACTCTTCTGATGACTTGAAGTCCAATCTCTTATGTTTTATCTCGAACAAAAACCAAGTAATTATCCATTTTGTGCTAGAAGATGTGGCCAAAGTTTTGCGTGTATGCATCCAGTTTTTCTGGTTTTTCGGTCATGAGTGTGATCTGTTTTCATGGCTGTTTTTGAGCCCCGAAACCCCGTCGTCTCTTTTTGAAGTCTTCTTGTAAACTGTAGATCAGCCTGTTACCTTTCACGAGGAAAAGGAATCACATGGTTATCATTTTCATATCGAGAATTGCGCCGGAAATCCGATCGTTGCGTAGTCAGTTTTTCGTGTAAACTGCAACAGTTTGAGACTTTCATTTTTGCTATTTTTGGCATGCTTTTGCTAATCTGAGAACCTCTATGTCTTCATATGAATTGTAGTTCTGTCTCTTAGGATTCATATAGCGCAAGATTCATTCAAAATACAAACTTCGTGCAATCAGTTTTCTGGAAATTGCAGCAAAAATTAATGTGTGAGCTTGATCCGTTTTCAACCCTTTAACCTACCCGTTCACGCCTTTGCTGCCCGAGTGCTTTTCCCTTGCCCTTGATTACTACCTTTCGCTTAGTAGTCATGTTTAAATTGTATTTCAAGACCCATCTTTATTGTTTGATTTTCGTACCGTGACAATTCACTTGATTTTCTTTTCCTTGCGTAGAATTTTGGGATGGAGTTGAACATCGAAATTTCATCTTCTATTTATCCTTATCTGATATCGAATCCTGTGTCGTAACGTCACTAAATCGATTGTAAGGTTAACTTGAGAATACCTTAGCCTCGAGATAGACGACGGTCAATTCTCTTTCGTGATCTATTTTAGCGTTGAACCAAAGTGGCGTACGTGAGAATCATCGCATACCTGATCAGGAGGAGCCTCGACATCCTTCTAGGGATGTTTTGTTATAGGAGGATCTTTTAAGAAGGGTAGTCGAGCCTGATATAAGCACATCGTAAGGTACAGAGCCGTCCTCATTTTTTAATTGTGTTCATCGTAAATCTTTGAAAACTCTCGTTCTTTTCCCTCGGAGATTCGAGAGTGATCCTTTGTATTTCTTGGAATTTTGCAATCCTTTGAAAACTCTTGATTTTGGTACGTTCGGAGTCTCCATTTCAAGACTTGCAACCTTATGTATTAATTAAGACGAGTACTTTCGTCTTTCCGCTTGTCTTATATCGTTCATTCGATTGTGGTGATGCCATTCGGTCTGGGTGCTCCATCCATACCCGGATCGGTTTGTCGTGGACTTTATCGTCAATGTACTATGTTCGAGACGTGATCGAGACGAATCAACCGAGAGGTGAGGAAGGATGGTTAGCTGCCATCAAGGAGTAGAACGTGTTCATCAATTGAGAATGGTTGGGGCTTTTTCGAAGATCGATTCGAGACGTATCTACCACCAATGTAAGATAAAATAAGGTTCGACGGACCCGAGAAGGCTTTGTGATGAGATCCAAAAACGTGAAATTCTTAGCAGCGTAGAAATTAAGCTCGTTTAGGACTGCCGACGCGATTAGCAACCGGCGAAAGAGCTGACGTGACGGTCGACATTGTTAGTCAGAAGAGTCATGCGAGCTGACCATTTTCATTGGTCGGCAATGACCACTGAGTTGGGATTATTCCTAGCTGAGGATTCCGATATTCGATTTCTTTAGGAAATTCCTCCGTATCTCTAATGTTTGATATCCGCTTGAAATTGTATGGATTGGGAAAGAGGTGGTGAATTTGGAACTCGGGTTTTTATGTCTTGTGATGATTTGGAAGCCCTGAACCTTTCGAGTTTGTTAATACCTAAATGCTGGAGGAAATTGTATTTGTTGAACCCTAATGTTTGTCGTTTCGAAGGCTTTGTGAAAACCTTTCCTTTCGGGTTACCTCAGATAGTGCGAACCTTAAATGAGAGAAATTCTTTTCTGTACCTCGAACCGAGTGTCGACACTGACTGGGTGTAGCCACCCGAAGTGGTGGTCGGGCACGCGAGCCCGTGCTGAGAGACGTGAGGTTAACTGCAGGGCTGATCGTTGACTCGCACGAGAGCTGCAAGCCACCATCACCGAATGCAGAAACTCCCCAAGCCAGTGTGTGTGGCCGAACCTTGACCTTGCAGCTGGTCTCCGAACAGAAGTACGCACACGTCCCAGCGCCCCGCTTATGCAGCGCCAGTGTGTGTGACATCTCTCGGGTGACAATGCATTTAACCCCAGACTGGCTATGTCCTTTTAGATCGTTAGTATGGGATTATCGAGCATCCCTATTTGAGAGACCGTTTCTGCGGTAGGAGATTGTTTCCGAATATCTAGTCGATACTTCCTAAACCGCATACGAACTGTTACTCGTGTCGGCAAGGAATGAGGCTTTGTCAACGGTATCGAACAGAACCGTGTGTTCTGAAGGTATCAGTGTTGAGAATATAGTGTTATTGGTGATTGTTAGCCGTTCGTATGGGGTTCCGTGGTGGCCCGTCTGATACAGACGCGCGGATCACTTTGAGATCATGGGAAAGTTGTCAGCATGACACGGGCACGAGATTAAACTTGGCACCGCGTAGCAAAGTCAGATAGTTGGGCGTTTGGGGCATACTATCGAGGTCCTGAGAGACTGGTTGGAGTCTGGGAAAGTACGCTTATAGCAATGGCTAGTGAGCAACGATCTCGATGGTACCGTACGAGGTTTTGAGTGCGGAAAGAGGTGTTGTACGCCTCAAATTCTGGAAAGAGAGGAAGTATCAACCACACTTTGTTGGTCCTTTTAAGATTATCGACCGAGTCGGCGACTTAGCCTGACGGTTGACCCGTCACCGGAGCTTGCGAGAGTGCACAACCTATTCAGTGCCTCGTGTAGAGAGGACATGTGCGTGACTCTGGGCACGTGACAAACTTTGACGAACTGCATGTGGGCAGAACCTTACCTGTGATGAGGTACCGGTGACCTACTGGATTGACGAATCCATCAGGGAGAGTCCGGGAGAGATACTCGTCAAAGTCCGGCGGGGTAGCCGTGGCTAGTGCGGTGTGACTTGGTAGAGTGAGGAGATTCGGACGGAGTATCCGAGTTTAGTGGTTTGAGCTTCTCTCTTGTGTCAGTTATCCTTTTTCTTTTATTTCCGGGGACGGAAATTTTTTAAGGTGGATAGACTGTAATGTCCCGTTTGTTTATGAATATTTTGGGATTATTTATTATTATTATTATTATTATTTAATGTTATTGTTATTACTATTATAATTATTATTAAATGTCTATTTGTCATTAATTGTCTAAATGTTTATTATTATTAAATTAATTAATGTGTGTATTATATATATAAATATTATCCGAATTTTATTTTAATTTCATGCGATCAAACCGAACTATTTTTATTGGCAAAGTAGAGCGGGAGAGCCGAACCGTATGTCGAGCTCGAAAACCCGCGGCCAGCCGCATTGAACCGGCACCCCAGCCGAACTCTCTCCCTCTCTTGTGTGTGTGTGTGTGTGTGTGTCTTGGAGAGAAAGACATTAAAACCTAGTTTTTATATCTGTCCCTCTCTCTCTCTCTCATGAAATAACCATGCCGCAACGCTCAATCTGCTCTCATCTCTCTTTCTCTCTCGTTAACGCCGCAGCCATCATCTCTATCTCTCTCCCTCTCACTCAAAAACCAACGCCACCATCTCCCTCATCTCTCTCGAAAAACATGCTCCCTCCCTTCCTCAGCGACGCCGCTTGACGCCACCGTGAGCCCTACTCCTCTGCACGCCTGCGAACCAGCAAGTCGTCGTCTCCCCCTCGCCATCGCCGACGATCCCCCGCGTCACACAACAACTTCCTGCGATCCCTTCTCCCTCGCGAGATCACCGTCGCTGCCCTCAGTCACGCGCCGACGACCCCAACAGCGACGCCGCGTCTCTTCATCATCACCGGTGAGCCCTTCTTTCTTTGCGTGCGATTTCCACCTGCTGCTCCACCACGCACCACCGCGAACCACCAGGAGCTCCGATGAGTCGTCCTCGTCCATCGCAGCAATCTAGCAGGCCGAGAAGAACAGCAGCAGCTCCTCCACGAGCCGCCATCCCCGCCGCTGCACCACCGATGAGCCGCGCGTGAGTCAACGAGCCCGTTGTGCGTCCTCGTCAACCCTCGTTCGATCTTTTCTCGCGACTTTCTCGAGAACGGTACCGAGGCTTTAACCTTAGCCCTTACGATTTATACGTGATGTGTGTTATGCATGTTGTATGATCTTTGTTAATATTGATATGTAAATGTTGGCTTAATTTTTAATATTTGTATGTTGAAGTCTTCTCGATTTTTGTGTAATCGAGTGAGATTATGCTAAAACGTGAAAGTACTGTGGATTATGGAACTTAGGGGTATCCTTGACACAATGGTTTTGGCCTTGTGCCAATTTGAGTTGTTGATTGAGTGTTATGAATTTTCGAAATCCATGATGCAGATGGAATTTGTAAATTCATGATAATTCGAACTGTTGGCCAAAAATTCTGATTTTTGGATATGTTGATCCTCTGTGGTATATATGTATGTGGTAAAAGTTTCAGGTTTAAATTCTGTAGAATCTTATTTTAATTTTTATAATTCGTGTTTTTCATGTTAATAGCTGAAATTTTTATAAGTTGTTATTCACATGTTGTAGCTTCTTATGTAAAAATTTCAAGTCTTAACTCGTTCATTAGGTCAAGCTTTGGATTTGTGCTCGTTTTTGCTGAAAACTTGTTTGAATTTTATAAAATCGTGTGTTTTGAGTTAAGGGCTGAAATTTGGTGTTTTGACTAAGTCCAGTGAGGTGATTTTGTGTTAGAATTTCAGAGCCTAACTCGTTAAGTTGCTAGGCCATCTTGACTATGTGATTTTCTCGGCAATTAATTTAATATGTAGTTTATTGTGTTAAAATATGAGAACCGGCTCACATGTTAATTCTTGAGACTTGTTTGGTTTGCCCTTTATGTGAAATTGTGTGAACTCACATGTTTAGTTGGTCGAGTCTAAGTCCAAGAGTTCCAATGTCCACAGGACTTCACGAACGACTTAGTTGAATCAAGTTCGACAAAGTCTGATTGTGATTTTCCTTTTTTAGGTCAAGATAAAGTATTGATTTTAGTATCTTGACTTAATGTAGGTGTTTTGAGGTATTGACCTCACTCCTCAATCCAGATTCGTGATTGTAAATTGTCGCTTCAATCAGGTGGGTACATTTGTGTTATATCCATAATTATCGCATTCATTATTCGTATAAAAGTTTCGTTTGAAAATTGTTGTATGCGTGAGAACCCTAGTCTAAGTGTCCCGTTTGGTAGTGCCTTTGATGAATGCATAAACAGTGAGAGGTCACCTGCCCGTCGTATCCGGGAGGAGTACGCCCCGAACCATTGTATCTGGAAACATCTCCACTGTCTCCTGGAAAGGATCCTACGAACCGTTGTACCCGGGGGTAGGAAGGTTTTCAGTTACTTCCTTGCCGTTGTATCCGGAAGGTTGTTGTATGTACATAGGAGGTTTGCGATAGGGCCGGGTAGGGAGTTAGACCTTATATTCTATACATACTGTGTTTATGTTTTAAAATTTTTATACGGGATAAACTGTGCGGTAATGGTGAGCTTGATGGTCATGCTGACCCCCATTATTTTTCTGTTGTTGTCTTCTCTTCCTTTCTTTAGGTTGAGCTGAGCTGGTGGCGGTGGCGTGAAGACGAGCGAGATGGTGGTCATTGGTCGATTATGTTATCGTTATATTATGCTTCCTCTTGTTTATGATTTGATGAGCTGATACTTTGACTTGATTTATTTTCTTGCTTGGATTTGGATATTTCATTATTGTCGGTGTGAACCTATGAATTATGTTTTCAACTTTATGGTGGTTTTTGGAACCTAATAAATGTTTGGTTTAATTTTTATAATTGTTAGTTATGCATGTGTAGGTTTAATATGATATGGTTGTATGTTTGTTATATTGTTCTTGGTAGTTAAGTAGCGCCCGTTGAGTTTTAAATTTAATTTGAAATTTTGAGAAAAATTAACTTTGATTTTTATAAATAAATTTGATAAATCCTCTAAAATAAAACGGGGCGTTACAGCCGCCGTGTTGATGTTTATACTGAAAGCTTGGATTTGGATGTTGTTTACACTATTTCTGGTGAATGGGAATCGTGTTTGATTAAACAAATTCGATGTTCTATTATTTTGCATTTAGATAAAATGGTTCATCATGAATGGACAGAAGATCATTTTATCAGTAACTTACGAAACAAGAATGATCGATTCACAACCTTGATGGAAATAAACAAACCATCGAAATGGTTGTAATTTTGACTGATTAGTTGCACTAGCACATTTTATGTATTGAACAGGACTCCAAAGAGGAGCAGTTCGTTTTATGACCGTCGTAAATGAACTAGACTTTGGTTAATTACTGTGTTATCTTAACCCATAAGATATAAACAAGCATGTGCACGCAGTAGCTACTACTTTGATTCACCAAAATCGAGATCCATTCTGCTAGGTCAATAGTCTTCGTGCTTTGGGTAATAGTGTTGCATGTATGTTGCGCTGTTAGAATATACACGGTCACCATATGCGTTAGTTTAATGACGTCCCGGAAGTGAGGTCATGGAGGATTATTATGTTAAACCATGCAGGTAGATTAAGTTCCGTCATAATAATAATGATTTGAGTGGTACTACCTTCGGTATAAGATATCGATTAATTCTTGACTGTCAGTAATCAAATTAATTGATGGACATATATCTTAAATGTGGGGAGGTAGTTCGGGTAATTATTATTATTGAAGTCTCAAATATATTTTGGGGTTTATGAGGGAACACAATAATATTTTGTTAGTGGACCAAAACATTATTTAAGTTATTGAACAGAGTGGACTTGGCCCACAATTAGGCTCAATACTTAAGAAGCCCATATCATAACCTCTTTAGGGTTTCTGTTGTAGCCCTATAAATATACCATGCATCTCTTGGGATTGGACACACATAACCATAAGCATAACATGCGAGTTCTGCCAGCCCTAGTTCCTAAGAGATCGGCTACAAGACTTGTTGCTCCACCGAGACAATCAAAGAGATGTCGGGTCATACAACAGAAGTCCCCAAGTTAGACGAGACCACAGAAAATGTCTACGAGCTACCGCGCACAACCAGGCCTTCCCAGCTGTCAACCACGAGTGACCAACCCTCAGCACTGGTGATCACCGCATGCAGCAGTGACTTAATCCCGTCCGCCATCGACCCACGATCTTCTCGTGAGCTCTCTCCGGCAAACAAGAGACCCGCACGTCCACGCGACCCGTCCACCCGCGTGAAGTTCTTGTTGACCCCGAGACGTTCGAACGTGGAGATTTTTAGTGAGCAAAAAATCAACCGATCTCCATCAACGGAAATCTACAACGTCTCAGAGTCTGCAATTTTTAAGTCGTAAGTGTTCAACTCTAAACCTTTAGTATCCATTGAGTATAGGTTTATTGTTGTTGTTTAATTCGTAACTTGTACTTAACGAGATCTTCACCGATCTCTACAAGTGATATCAGAGCCCGCAGTTAATTCGTTTCGTACAATGTTCGAATTTTTAGGGCTTATGTGACAATGTGTGTTCAAGTGCATCCATAAATTGGGTTATATTCGCATAACTTGGTTTTGCATAAATAAGTTTAATCCACTATTATGGTCATATATGTTTGATTTGTTGTTGCTTGGTTTTTAAAGCCTCGGACATGTCGAGGAATTTGGTTGAATGTTTATAAGAATTATTCGCCCGGTGGGACACTAGATAGGTTTAAGTAATTTTGTAAACGAACATGTAAACATATCCGTGGGTCTAGGATTGAAAGATGTAAGTTTTGTAAATTATATTTTGATCATGATCATATGCCGATAATCGGGATATCACCGAGAACGACGGACCTCGACGACCCGATCGACCTTAAACCACCGCAACATCGGGACTGACGACACGATTGTACGTGGGTGCACGGAAGCACGCTGTCGAGTGCGCCCAGGCGTGCGACTCGCAGCAGCCAGAGACGCGAATTGTATGGGGGAACCAGGGGCTGTGATCAGAGGAGCCAGGCATAGCAGCGCAAGGCGCGGTGAACGGGTGCCGTGAGGCGTGCTGCAGGACTTGACAATCACCGGTGCAAGGCGCTGCAGGGAGGCGCCGAGTGCTTGTGCGACCGTCGAATTAAAGGCAGATGTGATGGCTACTGTTAAGTGGACATTTAATGGGCGTGTCGTGCGAGGCAACGCAATTCACAGAACAATGACGCCAGTCGGACAGCCTGATCGACGGGATATGACAAGATGGTAGAGATTCAAAATTCAAAATTTGAGATAAGGACCAAGAGGGAGATAAAAAATCGTGGAAAAATAAGCAAACTAGTCGAAAAATTATGGTATAATCGAACTAAAGGAGATGTAGGAAGACAGGTCAAAAAGCAACAAAGTGGAATTCACCAACCAAAATCAAGAACAAATCTACTCTTAGATCGAGTTATTCCAACTCGACCAGAGTGGGGTGACCAGATGACATGGGATATCATACCTGGAGGAGTGACGACAGAACAACATGGAGGTCGATCGTCGACGAGAAGTCTTCAGGTCGAAAGGAGCGAGACGGGTTCAAAGGGACAGCGACAGGTCAAACTAGGTTCCATAGATGGCCTGTTGGAAACTCGACCTATAGGCATGGTTAGACATGTGATCGACCATAAAGGACAATAACTAGGCTTAGAGTAAACAATATTTGTAGCGCCCCAAACGAGCATAATTAGTTTCATGCATTTTTATTTATGTAGCTCGACATTTTAATTTTATTAAAATAAATATTAAGTGGATGTCCTCGTTCATTTAATATTATTAGTGAATAATAAATGGAAATTTATTTAGGTGTCCCCATCTATTTAATTTTTCTAATTAAAAATCCCATTAATCATAATTTTAATTAAGTAATTAATGTCATAATCAATAAAGGAGAAGGAGTATTAATCTAAGATATTTTGAGCACAAATAATCGGCCCTCCATTGCTATTCACGTGAGATAATAAGAAAAATAAGAGAGAAAAATCTTTTCTTGATTATCAAGTTTTATCATGTAAGGAAAGATAATCCAATCCCTATGAAATTAGGAATCCTTTTTTATTCCAAGTCTCATAATCCTAGCCATATAAATAAAGCTCTTCTTTCATGAGATAATATTTTTCCTAACATAAAATTCACGAGCCTCTCTCAAGAAAAATTCCATCGTTTGTTTTAAAAAAAAATATAAAAATAAAATCCCAACCGGGCCTTCTCATCGCCAATCCCCGCGTGTTGCTCTCTCTCTTTGCGCGTCCCAACCAGCAGCTCCACACGAGCTGACGCCAGAAGCCACGTGACACGCGCCCCAGCCGCGAGACGCCAGCATCCATCGAACGCCACCCACGAGTAAACCGAGAGCTGAAAGCAAGCCGAAGACCCGAGCTTTTCGTGAACCGAATTCTAGTTTCATTTCCCGAGAATGGTAAATCGATCTTTTTTATTAGAGGAGATGATTATGTGTTCAATAAAGATAATAATAAAAAGGCTATGAAGATTTTATGAGATTTGAAGAGATTAAGTGATGTTCATGAAATTCCAAGTTTGATCTTCGATTATGATTTTCAAAGAATGATTTTTTTAGGTGTTTAAAATCTAGAAAAGTTGAATTATTAAGCTTGCTTAAGTAGTAGGATGAGTCGAGGCTGCTAGAAATACTTCATGTCAATGAAATTCATGAGAAAGGATGAGAATTCGATGATTTTATGTATGTTCTACTGACGTTTATGCACGATTATGAGAATGAGATTGATTCCTGAAAATTATGTGTTTACAAACATGATATGATGTGTGAAAAACGTGTTCAAAAGGATTGGGTTATGTTTATTTTGTCGGGACTTAATTTGTTAAAGTTTCGTTAAGATTCGCATGAGAATTTGCTGTTTCGGTTTCTCTGTTTCATGCTTCGATTTGACCTTCAATATCGCGTTTTTTGAAATTATATTCTTCATATGAATTGTAGTAATTTAAGTGGGCTTTCTGTGAGTTCAATAATATTGCAAAAACCTTTTGTATTTTGGGAGATACACTCATTTTAAAATAAGTGTGCAAGCAGTTTTCTGAAAACCCAGTAGCAAGAATGTATTTAATGTTTGGTATGTTTTCTGTGTTCAAACGTGCTCAAAAGAATTTTTAATCTTCATAAAAATTGTAGGGCTGTTTCTTAGTTTTCAATACATATAAGGGTCAAGTCGAGATGATGTCTGTAGCAAGAGTTAAACTTATTTTACTGAACCTGTGTATGTATTGTGAACCAGATTTTTGGCAAAAACTAGTTCTGAATGTCGATCGATTTATCTCCTGCTAATTTACTTATTTGCATTTGAAGTCTTCAAGAAAGTTGTATTTTATTTTTTATCTTTCAGTAGGTTCAGGAATCGTTTGAAAATATATTCTGAGTAGTGAGTTGTACTCATTTTAGTAAAACAGCGCATGAGTTAAGTTTCAGTTTTCTGACAGCATCTAAGTTTCGAATGTTAGTTAATTGTTCACCATCTGAATGACCTTATCTATCACTGTGATCTTACTATAAGTTGTAGCTACATGTCTTAGGGTCATTTTGAGACTTGAATCATGTCCATATGCATTATGTGCTGAAAATTGTGCATGTTTTAAAAACATTGCGCATGGCAGATTTTAACGGGTTCTAGGTAAGGTTGTATAATCGAGTTTTCTCCTTAATGTGCATGCTTATATGACATGTATGAGCCGTGTAGGATTGTGAGAGATCAGGTTTGAAACTTAGGTGGTTAGAGTTAATTTCATTAAGCAAGCTAAGTGTTCAATTAGCCTGAAGACTTTAAACGTGATTGTTTTCAAAGAGGTTTAAGTGAGGCTTAAGTCAATTGATTTTCCTAAGACTAAGATATGCTAGATAAGTCATTAAAATTCACTTTTCCAACAATGTAGATAATCAAGGAGTTGAGCCCTCCATTATCTAAGCATTTTCAAAAGACCAAGTCCACTGCATATCGAGGTGAGAAATTTCTATACTATGTTTACATTCCTTATAATTTCTTATACTATGATTGAGATATATTGCATGTTTAATTATGATTATAGACTTTCGGTAGTAACCTCTGTCGGAAGGACCAAGATTTATAGACTTCCGATTCGTCGGGAGGACCCAAGATTTATAGACTTTCGATTCGCCGGGAGGACCCAAGAATTATAGACTTCTGGCTTTTGGGTAACACTATTAGTCAGGGGGACCAAGAAGCATGGTTATACTTAGTACATGTTAATGTCATATGATTTGTTATTATATTGAATGTCTATGTAGTATGTATTCCTTACTGAGTAAATGGAAATGCTCACCCCTTACTGTTTTCCACACCCAGTGATGTAGCACCAGAAATAACTCGGTGGACCGCCCTGACAGGTTAGATCGGATAAGACCGGTCGAAGGGAGCTTGGAGCCTATTTTATGTGATGCACGGTATGAAAGTTGATGTATATCTACACAGTTATTGAGGAACATCATAATTCTGGTTTGTTGAGGAAACTCATTATCTTGGGGAGTAAGTCATTAAATCCCTTACAAATAAGGGACCGGGTTTATTTTCTAATCCTGAGCTCTTAAGATTATTGAAATACACGATTAAAACATCCGTTTTCTGACTTGAGCGTCGGAGTGTCTACGCCGGGCTCCATCCCGGCACATTGCAGGTCGATCCGGTTCTTGAAGACACAAAAGCTATCGAGACGTCCGAGCTCTCTTGCAATCGAGATGAGGCGGTTCGACCGGCAACCTCGGTGAGTCAATTATTTTGGCACATCACCCAGGTTGATCAAGTTTGCAACAGAGCGATGGCGAGGGTGGCCAAACGAATGAAAATAAATCTCTTCCGTGTTTATATGCTTTAAGTTATTTTCTATCTTTTCTTTAGACTATGGTTATGAGATTTTGTAAGTATGTTATTTCCAAGACATGATTTACGTTTACATTGATTACAATGAAGTTTTATCGATGATTTTGATGATAATTATGCAAAGAGTTATACGAGGCTATGTTATGTTTCGAGTCTATGGTAAGTTTCAAAGTAGTAGCGCCCTTGAGCTTTCAAATGATTTTTTTTTTAAGAAAAAGAAAAATTTATTCAAAAAATTCAAGGTATGAAAAACGGGGCGTTACAATATTCTACCTCAACAGACCTCAAGCTGGTCGCACCATTAAGCAGTCTAATATGAAAGACTAAGAGATAAGAAGGAATCTTAACGCGATAAGAACCCCACGTGGATAGGGCCACGTGGCCTAACAGAATTAGGTAGTTCGGGGAGATAGAGCAGTTCGGGCAGTACGAATGAGCAGCTCGGGCAGCCCACTGGACAGTCTTGGACAACAAGGTATCGTTTCCGCATATAAAAGAATGAGGTATGCCCATTTTCACATTACATTCTTTAGTACTCTACATACATACAACATTTCATCTTCTTCTAGTGCTAACTTAAGAATCAGAGGCTCTTCACTGAAAAACCTCTCCAGTGTGAGAGTTTTTGTAGGTCTCAAGGCATTCAATTGGCAAGGAGCTCGAAGTCAGGCCAAATCCATCTGGTCAGAGGTCTTTTGTGTACAAGGCCCCCATCCTCTCGGGTGAGTAGTCGTGGAGGAGTATTCTTGTGGAATACAAAAATCTCTTTTGGGGGATTGGGAGGATACTTGGCAGCGATCGACGGATCATCATTAGGTAAGCGATCGTCCTCTCTCCTTCGCTTGTGATCATTTGGGGTTCGACCAAAACAATCTAGCTGAGGATGGTCGGTAGCTTGCAAGAGGATAGACATAAGGCTCCAACACTGGTATGAGGTATGCCCATGTGACTTGTGATAGGCACAATGTTTGGATTTTTCTAGGGTGACCTCGTCACACATGATTGGACAAGGATTTGGTAGGATTCCCTTGCCTTTGATTTCTTCAAAGATAGTTGCGACCCCGTGGAATATATATTTTGGTAAGGAGTTATAGTTTCGTCAAGTCTTCCTTGAAAGGCTTTAAGACGGGAGAACCAAGATTCCTTAGTTTCTTGAGATCGGTAGGGAGAAACATCTTCGGATTGTGAGGGAACCCCTTGGTGGATTCCAAGGTAGGCAAAGACCTAGACTCTTTTTCAATGATATGTTGTTGGGTACGTGAAAGCAGTTCTTGATAGGTCGCCGACTTGTTTTGGCAAACATGGAATCTGGATGGAGACCGGCATAAGAGAAAATCAAGAGAGTTTTTCGAGTGGCAGGGTTCTATGTCCTGGACCTTAGTGTTGAAACATGAAATGTAATCTCTCAGACTTCCATTGGCATTATAAATATTTGTGATTGATTCTTTACGGATCATACATACCTGTGACCCCATGAAGTGCATGTGTAAGGAAGATCGCAATTGTTCTCAGTTGTGTAACGACTTTGGAGATAAAGAATGGTACCACTGTTGGGCTTTTGGCCCTAGGGTTAGAAAAAGGTCCAACATAGGAGGGCATTGCTAGCACAATGGAGATTCATCCATAATGTATATTGTCGTAAATGAGAATCGGGATCGGTATTGGTATGGTATAGACCTATTTGGGTATCTTTGATCTTTACGAGAGGACTTCGGTCAATATGTGGAATGAGAGTGTATATGGAAGGAGAGCGGTGAAGTGGAATCTGAGGATGCATATTCTAGAGATGAACGAGGACTGGATGTAAGCCGATTGACTATTTTTAATATCTTTCGGGCTTCAAGTTCGACAATTCACTGTTTTAGTGAGGCGATCTCCTTCGCTTCTTTTCGAAGTATCTTCTTGGTGATCTGTTGACTGGAATCTTTAGTTTATTACCCAACCAGTTGAATATCAATCAAGTGTTTGAACTCATGCAGGCTTGACTTTCACCTATACTTTCTCGATCTGACAGTCGGGACGGTCAGGGTGTTGTTTTTCTTTACCCTTGTTTAGGAGTTTAGAGCGTTCATGAGATTGGACTTCATGAGACCAAGAAGCGTGATTTTGGTGAGTAATATGAGGATAAGGGTTATTACGGTGATTATTGCGAAGAACTTGGGAAAATAGTTCAGTAAGGGTCTTTACAAAGGCAGAAATTTGAAAAATGTCAAAAACATCAGGGTGTGAGGGAGAATAACCATTATGTTGGCTCAAAGCGTGGTTTTGGACATGTTTGGATTTGTTTTGTGGGAGAGAGATACACCAATACTTTTGATTGGGCCCTCCTAGTGCCAAATTATTGATAAGCTCGTCAACGCCTTAGTTACGGGACTAAGAATGTTTTAAGAGTGATTTAAGTAATGGTTTGGCAATGATGGCTAAACATATAATGGAATTTATAGTGCATGAAGGTAAAAGAACACACATACGATTTTTCCTATCTGCTAGGAGATAGACATGGAGAGTAAATTCTTCGGAAAGTGTATTGAAGTATGTGTTTTCTGATAATGATGTATTGTAGCCCTTGTGTATCCTTTTTGCTTCTTTTTTGGCTTGCTTTTCTTGCTTTTTTATGAGGTACTAGGCGCCTCATTTAAATGTGCAAAAACTAAAATACAATGATGGGAGCAGAGGTTAGATGATCGACGCGTGTTGCCATGCAAAAATCCAGTGTTTGAGGATGAGACATCAGACATGCATTTTGACTTTTCATGACGAGACCGGTTGGCCGGTCCCTTTACCAGTTCGATTGTGAGAGGGCGTTAGACTCTACAGAGAGATCGACAATGATCTTGAGATATCGAACTTTTCATGCGAGAGATCGACATGAAGCCTGACGCAGGGGATCAACATGAAGCTTGGTGTGTTGGGCCAGTCTAACATATCTTTTGGATTGGATCATTCTTGGACCATGATTCCCGCTTCTTTCAGATGGGCTTGATTTTTGAGAATACATATAGCATATACTTATTTTAAAATGAATAAAGTGTGCATATAAATTAAATTTTATGTATATCATAAATTTAAAAGTAAAAAATTAATGATAAAATGAATTTTAAAATTAAATGATATTCACTTAACAATTTAATTTAATATATTCATTTATTATTAGTACAGGACTATTAGGAGAGTATTCGTTTGCGATTTTTAAAGATTTTTTAAAATTTCAGATGGTGTATTTAATTTAGATTTTTTAAAATTTTTAATATTCTTAAATTATTCATTTGAAATTTTAAAAATCTTACAAAAATTAAAGGTATTCAACTTATTTCATATTATAATTTGTTAAAACTTTTTAAAATTTACTCAATTTCAATAGAAAAACAAATTACACTCGAAGTTAACCTCAAAACTTGAAAAGTTGAAATTAGAGAAGTCGAATAGAAGTCGGCTTCTTTCTTTCTTTCTTTCTTTTTGTTTCACCAACGGCAAATATAAATTTAGATAAAACTCAAACAAAATGATTACAACCAACAAGAAGGTATAGCGGTCCACCCCAAGGCATGACTCATGAGAATGGTTTCAATCCAACCTAAAAGGCTAACAAGCCCAATGAAACCTACTCCAAAGCTAAAAAATACAACTAACAGAGGCATTTACAATCTGATAAAAGAGCATGAAGTCGGCTTCTTTCTCAGTCACCTGGTTACCAAAAGCAACTAGATCGGAGGTAATGGCCAACCCAAGAAGATTGCTACCAATTGTGATTCTATGGGTTTTAATCATTTTCGGCACTCTCGCTCTGATTCTGGTACACTTTCTAATCACTTCTTCCCGTTGCTGCTTGTGTTTGGTTTAGTTCTTTAGTTCTAATTTTGTATTCCTCTTGGGTCTCAGAATCGGTTAAGCGATGCGGGGGTTTCATCATATCAAAAGGCGATTGGTGATCGGAATCTCGCCAGTGAGGTTCGAATCTTCAACCTATTTATTATTCTGAATTCTTAAACGTGTACGTGAATTATAAGTATGTTGTGATTTGTTATCCTTTGCTTTTTTTNNTTTTGTACCGAGGAAGCTGGAAGAGGATGTTGATCAAGTGACACATAAAGTTTACTTCGACATTAACATAAATGGAAAGCACATTGGTATTGTTCTTCTACTTTCTTATTTCTTGCCACACCTATACTTTTCATCATTACGATTTCATGTTAATTCTGTATGTACTATGCTTGGCTTTGAATAATGAATATCTGAGTTGCAATGTTGTTTGTGGCAAGAAATGCATTTTATGGCAATCCTTTGGCTTGTATTTGGGCGTTTATGACTCAGGAAAGAAACTGAGTTTCAATTTTATGACGCAATTTGAACTTGATTATAATATGAAACCTACTTTGGTAAAATCGAATATTGATCACCTTGTTTCAAATTTCCTCATGGTTTTTTACTCGTGTGCGTGAACATGTATAGATTTAATTGTATTTATTTCTACTATTTTTCCCTTTCTCTTTGTTTGACTCTTTGTCCTGACTAACTGATTTTCTTATGACATTACAAGAATTGTAGAGAATTATATCTATCTTTTGGCATATACCAAGAAGGAGTAGCACTATAATATCTATCTATTGGCATATACCCAGAAGGAATATCACTTTGGAGAGTGGAGATGTTATATTAAATTAGTATAGAAATGGTCGTGAAGGGTATTCATATTTTCAGCCTTTTGTTTCTCTTTTTCCGTTACCTCGCACGGCCCTTATTCACATGTGCATGCACACTTCAGCCAGAAGCAGTAACAGGGATTGAAGTATGTGCTCATTCATAGTGGTTGAGTATGTTAAACTGTCGCTAAAGCTTGATTTTATGAGGTGTGGAGTATAAAATTCCTGCTCTAACAAATAAAAAAATACACTACTTCCCCTTTTTAGTGGCTAACAAATAATAAAACACATTATTTATGGCATTTTCAGGGCGTATTGTGATGGGCCTCTTTGGGAAAACCGTACCTCGGACTGCAGGTTGCATTTCATGTGCACTCAATGATGTGACTAGCTGATAGTATTTATTCTTTCTTTTGACGAATGAATTTGTACTTAAACCTTTCCATTTTTGTCTGCAGAAAATTTTCGAGCTCTTTGCACAGGTAGCCGAGTAACCTATTTTCTCTCTTTTTCTGCTCCACTTCTTTTTGACTAATAACTAAATCAAGCAACATGTTGTGCAATCTGGTAATGGATATCAATTGACATCATATTCTTGCATTTTGTTGGTCATAGACTACAAAGGACAAAATTATATTGTAGCATTTATCTGCTCTTTTAGATATGCTGGGTAAACGGAAAAAAGACCCGTTTTAAAACCCATGCGGAATCTCTTTATATGTACACTGAGTCGACCTTCTCAACTGACAGAATCTTTAATCCCCCAAAACGAACATAACATTGATTATATACGACTCTTGCCGCACATAACTTTTCAAGGGCTTGGAGGGTGCAAATCTGCTTTAGGGGGAAGGAATTGGATCCTTTTTCTTTTCTTATAAAAAAAAGAATAAAGAAACAGTTTTTTAAGTACAAGTCCTAAGAGTATAGGCACTGTTGATTGGTGCGTAATTGCATATCTAGCCCCAGATCTCTGTTATTGATTTCTGAGTCTTTAAAGTATTGGATTGTAATCCAATTCTTGTTGTGGGCGTTATTACAGAACCTTTTCCGTTGTGTAGAACATGGAAAATAATAATTTTCAGTGTTTTTCCATATTCGTTTGGCAAAAAGTTTCTTACTTATCAAGTCTTTTGGCTCAGAAATATCTTGTCAAAGAAGAATCTTCATCTATTAGTTTTATTCAGTTATTTGTATATATAACTAAAGATTCATGACTTATATTTTCTTCTTCAAAAAAAATATCAGGGGAGAAAGGAACTGGAACAAGTGGGAAGCCCCTTCATTTCAAAGGGAGCAAATTCCATAGGATCATACCAAGCTTTATGATCCAAGGAGGTGACTTCACTCGGGGAGATGGCCGTGGTGGGGAATCAATTTACGGTGACAGATTTCCTGATGAGAACTTCAAGTTGAAGCACACTGGTCCTGGTGAGTGATATATGCTTGTTGTGTAGTTACAAAATATGTGACTATATTATATGTTGGCTCATATTTTCATGTCTTGTCACTGTAGGAGTTCTCTCGATGGCAAACTCTGGAGTGGATAGCAACGGATCTCAGTTTTTCATCACCACTGTAACAACAAGCTGGTAATAATTAATTTTACGGCTTAAAATTCTGACAACTGCCGACCGACCAGTTATCTTTGAAAAATTCAAAAACTACTCTGTTGAGATTGGAAAAACACTGACAACTATCTATCCACCCCCAAACTGCTGTCAAGGATGTGGATTTTAATTTCACAAAACAAAATAGTTAATCAAGGCAACATTTGTTAATACTCCCTCCTATTTTTATTATTCGTCACTCTGGCTTAATTGATCATTGGTTAAATAAATGTCGTTTTGGCTATTTTTGTTCATTTTTAACCCTCCATCTAATAAACAGTGTCTCTTCATATCCCATCTCCATCGTTTCTCATAATATCCATTAAATAGGGTTAATATTGGCAAGAAAAAAAGTTCATAATTAGCGTGTTGCTTCTCAAAACGACAAATAATAAAAATAGGAGGGAGTATTTTGAAAGATACTACAGGATTTTCCATCAACTGTGTGATGCTCGAGGTGAGTTTATAATTAATACCCTACAGATTTTTGCTTCACAATATATTTCTGGCAAACCATTCTATTCACCTGGATTGCTAATTAATTAATTAATGTGGTTGTGATTTAAAAGGTTGGACGGGCATCATGTTGTATTTGGGAAAGTGTTGTCGGGTATGAATGTGGTGAAGATGATGGAGTCTCAGGGCAGGCAGAGTGGGAGTCCCAAAAGCACAGTTATCATCTCAGACAGCGGTGAACTGCCGTTGTGACCCTCTTTTGAATTCGCCCTTGTGGACTTGTTTGTGTTCATTATACTTTGATACATAACTAGTAGTTTAGATCCGCAGAGATTAGTTGAATTTACTGGTGACTTGAATTCTGAAGGTTTGAGCTGACTGGAGAATAATGTACACATAACAGATCAACTCCAAATGCAGGTCATAATCCATGTTCCTTTAGATTTAGCAACAAATAAAAAATGCTACTAATTCTACTTGTTACACCTCTAGTGTCAATTCAAGTCACTGCTATTATCAGTGTGTATTATGAGATAGATAATAAACAAAAAGTCTCAACTTTGTCTTGCTGAAAAGATTCAGCATCACACCCTTGTCGGCTTCTTATTATTTCGCTAAGATACTTTCTCAGATATAGTATATATATATCATGTGTATGCGTGTGGTACTTCTACACAGTGGAGAAATATCTAATTTCATTCTCATTTATTTTTATTCACTTTTGTTGGGAATTATCGCAAACCACCTTTTTGTTTTTGTTTCTTTCTTTCTTGGCTAAATGCTTCATACTGAAGTAGCGAAAAGCATACGGTGGCAAGTCCGTCAAAGTGTAAAACATTAAAAATATCCCATAAGGCTTACTTATATAGTTGCAGTATAAAATGAAAACAAAAGGGGAACGAAAATGCATATAAAATTTAATATATTAAAAAAAAGACCTCCAAATTTATTTGGACAGAAATTGTGCACGAGTAGGGTATTACATATTCCAAAGCTACAGTAACAACAAAAAGCTAAATTGAAACTCTAATCTCACCACTAATTAATAATAAGTAACAATTAATAATTATAATTATAGTTATAATGAGTACTACTTCTTGTCCCCCTCAGAAGCAGAGGCGGAGCTCCTGGCCTCGCCGTGGTGATTGACGGCGGTGGAGAAGTTTTCGGAGAGATGGGAGTAAAGAGAGACGACCTTGGTGATGTTCCCGTTGATTTCCTGGATCAACGCCACGTTCTTCACCATGTTCTCGTGTATTTTGGACTGGTGGTTCTCGTTCACCTGCTGGATCAGCACGCGGTTCCGGTCGAGCACCGACTGGACTTGCCGAAAGTTCTCCGTGAAGGCCGCCCACACGGCAGGATCGCCGCCGTCCTGCGCGCCGTCGGAGGATTTGGGCGAGAGATCGCGGCGGTTTCCGGCGCAGCTGTCAGCCATGTTTGTTTCCGGCGGTGGCGGAATTGGGTGAATTGGGTCATGGGAAGGGAAAGGTGTGGATTTCCTTTCCCTATTTAGGCGATTGTTTGGAGGCGGTTTGGTTATTGGCTACGAATGATCAGACTAACCCCGTTACGCTATTTCTTCTCGCGTCTGATTCACGCACAATATGTGTCGTTTTACCTTTTCTTTAAATAAAAAAAAATCATGTTAAGCATTTAAAAGAGGAAAAAGGAATCATTACAATGGGATTTTTAATCGTTAAATGCATATCCCTCCTTATATATTAATTCAAAACGTGTTGAGCTTAGTTTCATGTTCACATGCTCCGGATGTTGACATGGCAAAAATTTATGCTTCGAAATGTTGTTTGTATATTAATTTTTTTTGCTTTGGAATTAGACTTGGTATCGACATAAATAATTTTTTTAAAACTTGGTAAGTGTACATTTAATTTTGTTATTTTTTTTCTCTTAATACAAATTTCCTTCTTAATTTGGAAAATAACAGTCTTACCATCTTATAATTTTCTCATATATTTTTCTCCTAAATTACGATTTACTAATTACTTTCTGCAATGTTTATTCCTCTTTTTTTTTTCATTAATTAGTCCATCGAATTAAATAAAATTTTTATTTTAGCAATAACATTTATAATATATTTTTTAATTCATCACCCGTGTAGTACACGGGTATTGTACTAGTAAAGATTAATGTAGCATGTACATGTAACGATTAAAAATTCCAACAAAATAGTTCCGTAACAGGACTGTAGCCTTTTTAAAAGAGTATGGTTGTTGGCACTCCAATATTAGTCTTATTAAGATCAATTACAAATGTGCGCCAAACTCAAACGTATGATATGATTGTCTGCAGTCAGTCTTACCTAAGATCAATTCCAATTATCTGAATATCAATTCCTATTAACATACAAGGACATTATTGTAATTCTGTATACAGTTTAATGATAAAACTGTGTATTACCAAGTAGCACTTTATGTACAAAGTGTGTAGTATATAAGACTTGTATTAGGGTTTCATTATTCATTATTCAGTTTTATACCAAATACATCTTTTCACTTTTCTATCTTGTTTTCTCCGTCTGTTCTTCTTCTTCTCTATATTTTGATCTCATATCTGTATCATAATATGGTATCAATCGCTGGTTTTTTGATCGATCCTTGCTTCCGCACCTTTCTCTGATCCTATTCTCTACAATATTTGCCTTTCTGAAGAGATATTACTCTGCCCAATTCACTTGAATCTAGGATTTCTGTTCTTCGATTTATGATATTTCGAAGTTTCTTTTTCTCCGATTTGGCTTCTGATTTGGTGTTATCTACATACATCGCGCTTCGATCTATATACGTTTTTTGCTGTATCGCGACTGATTTGGTGTTGTTTTATAATCTGTGGCTCAGACATATCTGGTGATTCAATCAGAACTTCGATTTACTGTGATTCACTCTGATCTCGGATCTCCGATCCACTCCGGTCTCATATCTGGTGTTGTTTTTTTTACCGATGGCGACAGAACATCCCACCGATGTTCCTGCTTCACCATTTTACTTACATCCGAGTGACAACCCTGGCGCTCTCATTGTTGCAGAACCTTTCTCAAGCGACAATTATGTTTCATGGTCACGCGTTGTGTTGATGGCACTAAGTGTCAAGAATAAGTCTGGCTTTGTTGATGGTACCATTCTCATACCTTCTTCTTCTACACATCATGTTGGGTATTTTGCATGGGTACGTGCTAATAACCTTGTGTTGTCCTGGTTGTTGATTTCTGTGTCTAAAGATATTAGGCAGTCCTTACTGTTCTTTACTTCTGCTAAAGATGTCTAGGAAGAATTGAAATCTCGATATGCCATAAGTAGTGGTCCTAGTGTAACGCCCCAAATCAGTAATAATAGTAAGAACGGTTTCACTGCTCGACTATAAGTGAAATCCGTAATTTTCAGAAATTCCCGTGTTATATTTATTGTGCTAAATGCTCAATTATGATAAATTATTCTTTGGATAATTCTATCTCAAGTATAAGTTAAGATTAATTCATTAATTTGGGTTGGTAAATAATAGCAAGTCAATTCGAGGAATTTTCGACTCCGAACCCTAGTTTGGTTCCGAGTTACTTTTCGAGTAAATTCCGAGCCTAGCCAAATATTGGTATTTATTATACTTAGAATAATTTTCTAAGTGTGTAAAAAAAAAATACCAAAGTCAAGTTTTGATCATTTATATATGTTAGATTATTCGGTTATTATGTTCGAAATTTTTTCGTTCGAACCGAACCATTGAACTCTAGAGCAATGCCGCACCATAGTGACCAAAGTCAATTCTTTTCCTTAGCCATATTTTCCATATGTGGGTACAAGAAGTATATTAAGTGTATTCTACGCATAGTTAGCACTAAAAATGATTGGTAAAGTCAAACCATCATTAGCAAATTTAATATGCTTAATGATCATGTCATGGGTTCATTATTCTATTCAAGATGTATGTTTTTGTCCCCACATTTCCACTCCTCACCTAGTGCACTCCGCAAAGCACTTTCCCAGCCCCTCAATGCTCTTCATGCACACTCAAACACATGCCTTGCATTGGAAATGAGTCCATGCCATGTTCCCCACTATCTAGCATATTTTACTCCGCCCATGACTCTATTTAAGCCTTCTTTTCAGCTCCATGACATCCTCATTTTGACCCTCAGTCATCCTTTAGTATATTGGAGAAAAATTTCGAGCATACACCCTCCCTATAGCATAAAACCGAGAGTGAAAACAAAGAACAAGCATAAATCCCGAGTGCACACTTGTGTTTAATTTCAAATTCTAGCCATCAACTCTTGCTATCAACCACATTATATCACTTTTACCCCATTCTACACTTCCCATAGAAGTGTTTTGAGGCATTAAACTCAAGAAAATTCGAAGAGAACAAGCCACAAAGCCGCAGCAACAAGAACCAAGCGAGAACCGAGCACACCCTTTTTCTTTTCGGTTTTTGAGATACTTTAAGAGGTTGGTTTGCTAATTCCTTTTTAGGACATGTTATATATGAGATGGGGATGAGAATGCTGTATTTTTATGCCCCATATGTTCAGTTTTGAAGTAGTTCCAAGCATGCTTAACGTTAAGTACTCCCAGTTTTTCTTGCATGTTCTATATGCTATGTTTTCTTACGTTTTTACCTATGTTATGAAAATTCTGGGAATGTGCGAATTTTATGGATAATTCTTATAGAAAAGAGGAATTCATAGGATCAAGAATGAAGTCAATTGGCCTAGTATAACTCGAGTTATTGATTTTTTAAGTTAGATGTGCAAATTGAACTTACATGCGCGAATTTCAGTGGCAACTTCAAACGCGTAGAACTTGAGTTATACTCAGGATAAAATTATGAAATTTTATGGACATGTTTATATATGAGTTGAGAGCCAGCATACCAAATTTCATGATTTTATCATAAGAAATGAAGGAGTTATAAATTTCAGATCGCATGCGTGTCGAACTCATTTTATGTGCAAGAGTGCTCTGTCCACATGCAAGCTATGAATGCTAAAATTTTATGTAAAATCCTATTATGAGTTGTGAACATTGTGACCAAGTTTGAGCTTAAAATGATGATCATGTGATTTTACAAAATTGTTGCAATATGCACAGGTATATAACTAAATTTTACGTTATGCTTAAGTTATGAGTTTAATAAGCAAATGAAGTCCTATTGACATGAAATTTGGACAGCAAGTACATGTCTATGTCTAATATTAAACTGCCAAGTTTCGTGATTTTTGGAGACTTGTGTGAATTTTAAAAATTCATGAGGTTAAGAGCTCAATTATGTTCGGTTTAAATTTTAGATAAATGTAGAATCTTGGTTTAATTGAGCTTCATGAGTAGACATGGCTTAGTATAAGTTAAGTGGCCAGGGAGAGTCACCTTCCCGCCCTGACCGGTGGTTTGAGTCCGTTTTGATTCGTGACTTTCGGTCCGAGTCTATTTTACGGAATTTTAGTATTTTTCTAAGCTAGTCCAGTCCAGTTTAATCGCGTAGATAAGTCCGAGCATTTTAGCATATAATTTAATATTCCGAGCATTATACTTAGCATTATTTTACTTAAATATTTATGTAGCCTAAGGAGAGTCGAGCCTCCGACCGCTACTCCAGCATCCGCACTTGCATATCAGATTCCAAGTTTTTCAGGTGGGGGTCATGTACTGGATGTCACATCATAGATAATATCTGTACCATGGCAGAGGTATGTTTGAGACAGTTTAGTTCCGGGTTGGGTGGCCGAGGCCTTTATACCCACCTGATGACCGTTGGGAGGGGCGAGGCCCTTTCTACCCCATCGGCGTGTGCACACGAGCGGCTACGGCCGAGGGTCTTTTGACCACAGATCAGAACAGACATCAGAGATCAGTTTACAGTTTCAGCTCTTATATATTTATGTTTCATGATACGTTATTATAGATGATGTTTTGTTCAGTACTGGTCTTTGCGGAGCATAGTGGTTTGCTCACGCCCCCATTGTGTTTTTCAGGAGACGGAGTCGAGCGTGCCGGATGAGCACAGATGTGGCGCAGCGTGGTCATGAGAGTCGGACATATTTTACCAGCATTTTTATGTCCTAGATTTATGATCATGTGTATTTTATTCAGTTTATGTACGCATGTTATGTATTCGTATTTCGGATGCTTCCGCCAGCGAGTTTTTTTTTCTAGTGCGAGACAGTACAGACTATGCATGTATAATTCCATAATCCGTGAGCGGACAGTTTGGTTGCATGTTTTATTATGTCTGTGGGCAAGCCCAAGTTTCAGTTTAAGTTTTTATCTGCCACATCCCGCAATAAGCCAGTATTTTCGAAAACCCAGCTCGCACGTTCTTTCGAAAATAAAAACAAAAAATTTTACTCTGATTTTCAAAGCTAGTAGTAAGGCGGGGTGTGACACCTAGGGTGTTCCAAATTGAAAAATCTCTTAGTTCTATGGATCA